ACACGCGTCAAAACGGAGATATCAATTTTTGAGCATTGAGCTTTGAGTTTTAGAACGGAATAGGAAGTACGATACGTCAGTTCTGAGGGGGGACAGGCAAATTTTGAAGAAAAGAAAATGAGCTATACCTTTACAGTCTTTCTGTGATATTCCATTTGTTTTTGGCACTGTTTTGGCAAACGTGTCCTGCATACATGCATCGGTATCATATAAAGAAATTGTTTGTGGTTTGTTGTTGCGGGTTGTTCTCACTGAAAATATAATGAAACATAAACATAAGTCAATCAAACATCTTCAGAACAGTTAAAAGCTTTTGCTTTCTTCAGTTACTATTACTATCCACATTTAGTAACTTTGATCATCAGAGAAAAAAGAAGTGATGCCAAAACCTAATTTTACAAATAGTGGAAAATCCACAATAATGTTCGAAGATGCCAAATGAGTTGTTTGATGATGATCAAGCTACGACAAGCAAAATAAAATCACTCTTAGAGCGTAATGTGCTTACGAAAATACACTTGCTTGCGGCCATTTTTTTCTAATTTTTACTGAGAAGTTTCCTCAAATTTGAGGAGGATATCATCGATTTTAGTGTTTGGAATTTAACAGTTTTGTGGCTGTAAAATCTTTGACTTTCTTTGGAAAATCAGTCAACGTTGTTTCTCGAATATCATCTCAATTTTTCCTGTTAGTCGGCAAAATATTCCGTGTATATTTTAAGCTATAAAATTGGCTTTCTTCCTCTTGTAAAAAGTACAGTAGGAGCGAGAACTTTAAATCACCGCAATGGAGATACGTGGTTCCGCTCTTTAGCCATCGATATTTGAAGGCACGCCATAAAGTAGCAGTGGAGATGTTGCATGTGTAAGGAATTTGCAATTTGACCATTGATACTTATGTAAAAGTTCGCAAGAAGCACGATGATGCCACTGGTTTTCTCTGAAATCACCTCCCAAGCTCAAAAAACGCTCACAAATCGAGGCCAAAATGGAGGGGATAATCCCGCACTATCCTGAGAGTCCACCTCTACATCAAGACGTACTCTTCATGCAAAAGATAGGGAGCAAATATACATTAGCAAGGATGCTGTGTTTTCAGTTTTAGAGTCCCCGAATAGAGTGGCAGCCGTGGACTCTCAGGATAGCGTGGGGTATCCCTTCCATTTTGGCCTCGACTTGAGAGCTTTTCTTGAGCTTGGGAGTTGATTTCGGAGAAAACCAGTTGCACCATCGTGTTCCTCGTGAACTTTTACTTAAGAATCAATAGTCAAATCGCAAATTCCTCACACATGCAACATCTCCATTTTACTCCCCGAAGGCGGTTATTACACTGTAAAAGTCATGGAGAGGGGAGTCGCACAAACAACGTCTGTGCGGCAACGTGGTGCGGTTTTGCCCAATGACAGCGGGTTATGAGCGCGAGACTCCGGCTTATGGATGCACTCGACGTCCAGTCCAGTCGGCGCGCATGCGCACTTCATTAGGCGGCCATTACGCGGCACAAACTGAGACAATATTGAACTTAAAATCGAATCAGTTTTTTCCTCGTTTCCCCGCCCTGAGAGATGACTCGCCGTTCGCCGTCATTGACCGGAGCCGCTTCTTCCTCCGGCGCCATGTTGCCACATTCCTTAATGACACATTCCTGCATTTTGCTGTGTTTTGAGTAAACTCGGAGATACGTATGATGGTCTAGGGGAGAAAAATTTCATTTGTTTCTCATTTGTTAAATATAAATTGTTTATCCTAACCCCTCTTCACATCTGGGATTGCCTGAAATTTGTCATCTCCAGTGCTCTTATTTTGCCTTCTGACCTCCTGCCCAATCATCATTATACCAGTAGGCATAAGAACAACCCTAATAAAATGATTCGACTGAGGCGGACTGAGCAGGATGTCAAATTTTCGGCAATACAGATGTTCAACGCACTGCCCTGGAGTGTGAAGCTACGCTTTCGCAATGCTAACCTGACGTCGTTCTTTAAGGGGCTGCGTGCTTTCTTATTCGAAAAAGCATTCTATAACCTTCAGGAACTTGTAGGTCTAATATAATTTACACTTCTACCATGTGTATATCACTGTATATAACTGTTCACCATGTAACGCAGAAATGACGTGTGCCATAGCCTCGGACAGAGGCTCAATTGAACAAATTATAAAATAAAAACAGAAATAAAAATTATGCGACGAGCAAACGCCTGCAAATTAATACCCATCTCCGGTTTCCGGCCGCAGGCAGGGGCAGGGTCGCCGGTCGGTACTTATTCTAACGGCAGTGTTGAAACGTATCGTAATTGGTCAATGCAACAACTGATGGGTCACTTAAAAAAATTATAAAATCAAGTTCCAATCGTCTGGGATCCCATGCGTATTGCAGAGAATTTAAAAGACTCATATTTGATTTGAGCGCTTCCAAGTGCTGAAGTTAACCACCGACAACTCTGCCTCGGAGCTCGGTTAAAAAATTATGAGCGCTTAAGCAGGACAATACTGTTGTTTGGCGCTACAAAAAATAAATGAGATGAGACGGTGGAATATTCACAGCATAGCCGCCGCGACGTCACGTGCCACGCGCCGGGTCAGTGTGAACAGGCCTCCACGCTCGAATTACTTCTTCTACAGCTGACGGACCAACAAAATGTCACTCAATTAAGGGGTCATTTTGACCGAGAAGACATTCCCTTGAAATTTTCTAAAGCTTTTGAATGGACAATTGCTGTGCTTGAAATTTGAGAGGTCACATGTGTTTTACGGAATGGCTTCTTGTTCACAGTAATGAGGAATTTGATACCTAGTTTCATCAAGAAATAACATGTGCAAAAGCGCAGTTATGTTAATAGATAGGTAAGATTTTATGTTCAGGTAAGAAAAGTATGACTTCTTTGGATCACAAACAAAATACACGGGGATAAAATCAGAGTATTAAAGCGCAAATTCATTCATGGTGGGGTGTGTGGCCCAAGGACTTCGGCCAGTGACATTTTTACATTTTTCCCTAAAAAAAAAAAAAAAAAAAAAAAAAAAAAAAAAAAAAAAAAAAAAAAACAAATTAAAGGTAGCAAAGTGGAGTTTTCAATCGTTATAATACCTTTGTTCTGATCGACTCAGGAGTAATGCTGTGTTTTGAAATCTCAGAAAGAACAGTTCTAGTATCAATGGTTTCCCGAAAAAATTGGATAATTGAGGGTAGTATATACAGGGGTTTGTTACGTCGGAGCTTATGAATTCATATGTGTTATAAGATAACCAAGATTTGAGAGTTGTGTGAATTCGAACGCACAACATTTGGGGTTTTTTTTTTTTTTTTTTTTTTTATTTTTTTTTTGACAGAGCAGTTTGGCAACGACAAAGCTCTCAAACGTCCGGTGATATTCTCCAGTGAATGCCTTTTTAATATCGCGGTTGGGACTATCATCGAAGGGTTATTACTTGGCATTAGCTCTAAACGAAAACGTTGAGGCTGATGCGCGGATTAAGCGTGATTAGCCAGGGGTTCCCAATCCACGACCCGCGAAAGTTCGCCCGCGGCTCAGCGGATTTCTCCTCGACGGAACGGCTCATAAGCCGTTTTGCTATCGATTTAACTCGGCCCTCGTTCAGCTGAGATGTGCTTTGAGGAGCTTCAATCAGCGCGCCGCTCCAACTCTCAGGCTTTCAAAAGTCGAAACTTAATGGGAGTGATGATTGCAAATTTGTCGCTTCATGATTTCAAATTAACGTCGTTTACTCTGAAAGGAGCTAAGAGAGGTTAAGGGGCATTCAAAAGGAGCCGCCTTTACGCTTCGGCGGTATTATTTCTTTCAAGCTATGTGCACTCTTAACTAGGTTGTACCCGCGGATACGGATGATGAAAAGTTAAGGCAATCCGTGAACTCTACCTTTGAGGTGTCATGGATAAAATATTATGTGTTATAATATAAATAGTAAATTTTAATAATAAATAATAGATATTATAACAATAACTAATATATATTATAATAATAACTAATATATATTATAATAATAACTAATATAAATTGTAATAGTAAATAATAGAATAATAATCACATAGGTAAATTTAGTGATTTAATGTACCCAATTTTTTTTTCAACGTGAAAAAGTGGCGACAATTACGACCGACCCCGCAAAAGTAGAAAATCAGAGTGGAAAAACTGCAAAGTCAGATAATTTTCCCAAAGTGTAGGAGTTTTCTCTTCGTGGAGAAGAAAAGCAGAAACCTTTTACGCTAGTTGGCCATGGATTATTATTTTTAGCACGGCCATGTCGTGTTTTAGTTATTATCTATCAGGAGTCTGCTTTAATTTGGAGGGCAGAAAAGTCGTTTGAAATTTGTTTAGTCAAAAGTTCGAGAAAAAGGATTAGTGCCAAAATTAGTTGGGATTTCTTTTTTCTTTTTTGCAACAGAGAGACGAGAAAAAGCAGGAAAAAAAGTTGATGAATTTTGATACCGATTGCTGAGGAACAATACCGATTACCTTCAAAATAAAAATTTTACAGGCCGAAAAAAAGCTGGTCATTTTCGTATTTTTGAGGTTCAGTGGTGTTGTTCCTTCGCCATCAATAACTGAATTCAGTGACCATCCTTCATGAATTTTGAGGAGAAAACATCCGACGAAGCTCTTGAATTGCTAAAAACTTTTAAAAAACTTTTTAAAAAAGTACAGACACACAGGTGGTGCACATCAATTGTTAAATCTCCCGGAAGCGTTCCACCCGTTCAGGCCTGGCATCATCACCGACGCTCACAACGCGTTCGGAAATTTAGACAATTATTGACGTACACGTGAGTGTCTGTACTTCTTTAAAAAGTTTTTTAAAAGCTTTTAGCAGAGCTTTGTGTTGGCTCCTGATAGTTTATTTTATTCTTGAATTGCTGCCTTCTCTACTGCTCCAGTAAGCTGTGACGTGGGATCGTCTTCAGCTTTGCAATGTTTACCTGAATATTCCACGGCAAAAAATGACTTTATTTCGTTCTGACGTGTGCTGTTTGGTGTGTTGCAGGACGAAGTGGAAGCGTCAAACAGCGGTAGGATTGGAGCTCCTGGCCGAGGCGGGCAACTACGCGGCGTTCCAACGGCTGTACGGAGGCCCGCCCTACGGGTGCTGGCCCTACCCGGGTGTGGGCGGCGTAGGAGCCGTCGGGGGCACCGGAGCCGCCCCCACCGCCGCCGATCTCTACTACCGCCAGGCGGCTGTCGCTGCTACCGCCGCCGCCACCGCTGCCGCCGTCACCACCCTCCAGAAACCCCTCGCCTACAGGTAAATCTTCAATCCCTTGGATCATCACTATAATGTTTAAGACAGTATGAAAGAACGCATTAAGCAACTGTTTTATGACAGTCAGATGTAAATTCGTCATCACGGCCTAGGTCGACGCGTTTTAATGAGACGAAAATTTGAAATAGGAGTTTAAGCCACTATACAAGTAACGTTAAAATTGATAAAACATTTAAAAACTTGAAACCACTCACTTGCATAAATCGTAGAAAAATTAAGTATTTAACAATTTATGCCAGTGAGTGGTTTCATGTTTTTAAATTTGTTACCATTTTTCACAAATTTAATCTTGTCCTTTTTCACAGTGCCCTGGCCAGAAAATAAAACATTCTACATTCGGTGACGGATCCGTAATCGAATAAAACTCAACTTAAATAATTGAAATATTGGTTTCAATTCCTGATCCGATAATAAATTTAGCCCAGCACGTCGCAGAAACATCATCACTCCGCAGGGGCCGTTCAAGTATTACGTAACGCACTCAGGGGGAAGGGGGTTTGAACCAGCGTTACGGTGCGTTACAGGCGGGAGGGGGGGGGCCC